TCCTTAGTTTCTACTAATATATATATATACTTATATAGAAGAAGTACTAGTAACGCTTAGTATACGTACGTAGAAGCGTACGTAGCAAGCTAGTCGTAGGTACCCATCTCAGCCTCTCGTAGGCTGGTTTCACGAGATAAGGTAGCCTTAAGACAGAAACGGCCGGGCTAAGACCGGATCGGCCCGACCCCGTCTCTCTACCGACCGCTAAAGCCAGCCATGCAACCTCCACGATAACACATTCCTAGGAGACGAAAGATACAAAGATGCCGACTGTTGCGAACCTATGTCTACCGTCCGAATGGATTGACTATTGCGATGTACTCTCTCAAAAACTGATCGCATCCAGCCGATTCGAACAAACACTAGGACAACTATACGACGGACAAGAGATATGGGAAACGCGCGTCGAGGCCGGGGATATACTGAGGCTGCTCGAGCCGGATATTCAGATGGAAGTATCAGGAGCAGCATTGGAAAACGTTAGGAGCTGGGTTAGTAGACAGGACGCAAGCGCATTCCAGCTAAGCGACTTCTGGGCACACGAGCTAGAGCAGCTTTTCAAAGACAGTAGAGATGCTGGAGACAGGATAATCGGGCTTACGATGTGCCTATTGAAACCGATGATGCGTTGTTACACGCAGGAGTATTACAACTACATCTTGGCGCTGGGAAGGACCCCACCGTCGTTTTCTGACAGGTACGGTGGTACGGATTCCAGCATTGCTACTCTCGAATGGAGTGAGGAAAGGATATGGGGGGGACTTTTATCCGTCAAAGACGGAAAGGTATGTCTTTCTGCGCCTGGACGTAGCATCATGGCTGATACCATCTTAGCTCGTCGTATGTCCCCACGTTCGTCCAGCATTTACTATAGATAGCGGAAGGCTGGTAAATTTCTCGAACGACCTTGAATCTCTGCCCTTCCGCCCACTGGCGGCTGTCAATCGGAAGTCAAGACTTGAGGATGATCTCGAACTTTACGGCTATATTCAGAACCAAACAAAATAAGCGATGATTCAAGGCCGGGAACAACCAATTGCGGCAGTGTGCTCTACAGCTATAGGACGGTATTCACTCCAGCCCATCTTATCTCACATGTAGCTTACTGGTCCAACATGGATGTTCTCCCCGTGCGTCCTTCAGACATGATGCTGGACAATTACGTACACACTGGATCTGTATTGTCCTCGTCCTGGATTGCGGCATGCTCCTTACTATGGCGGCTGGAGGAGCAGTGTCCTGCATCATTTCGCTTATGATCGTACACCGCTGAACGCAGTTCCTTCCCTCTGCTAGTACCAGATAAGGCATTCCACCACAATCTTCGACAAGCTGCTGTCTAACTCCAGCTGGCGCGATGAACTCAAATTCGGGTCCATTATCAAAGGGCGGGCAAGACATGTCCATTGTTATAAAGGCTCCGTATCGACTCAACGCATCTGGTAGGTGGACTACGGACTTGATAGATTGTATACGACAATGACATCAGCCCCTCGATGGCTCAACTCGTAGAGCCGGGGGACTGGCTCGGCGCAGAACTCTAGTTTCGAGGTCTGCACCGGTGATGATAGGTATGGGAACGGCGGTGCCTGGTGCAGACCTGAAGCTGCTTGCCAACTGCGCGCCAGTCATGAAGACCCAACGCCTAGCGCCCACTCTAGGGATTGGTGAACTGGTCATCGAAGCAAGTACCAATGGACCTTGTCCCCCCAACCAATCAGGGGCAAGGAATACACCAATCGTGTGTAGGGCGAGTCTCTTTGCGTCTGTGTCGAGCGGACTTATCATCCAAGGGAAGCCATCCTGAACCCAGTCAGCCAAAGAACATTGCTGATCAAACAGAAGTTCACGTACCTCCCCACCCAGCTCGGTGCCGTCCATGTAGAAATCGACCAGCCCTCCAAAGAGCAGTACCTCAAAGAATTCGCCGGCCTCTCCTTCGATGTCGGTCTGCCTGGAATGAGGAGCGCCCGACATCAGTGGAGGTGTGTTGCAATCTCCATGGCCCAGAAATGTCTGGAGCAAGTGACCAATTTCGTGAAGGTAAGCATGACACAGCCGAAAAAGACTCAGTTGGTACAAGGCGGAGTTGAAGTTGCGTCCCCTCGCAACGTACGCTCTCTGGCGTTCCACGGCAAGGGTAACCCACTGCGGCCAGTGATTAGTGTTCGTGACCCAAAAGAGCGTGATAGAGAGGCTTACAGTAGAGTTCAGTTTCACTGCTTGCGATCGTGTATCGAACTCCTCGGGTGAGCCACGCCATGATCCTCTCGGGTGGTCTGAGACTATTCGTGCAGATTCAAATCGATCATCGTCGACCAGCAGAGGCGACGTATTAAGCTTCTGCAAAAAAGTATTGGTGAGCCGCACAACATCTGCGTCTGGTATAAGCGTGCCTCTCGCCCGGAGAGAAGCGCGGACGAATGCTTGGACACTGGCTACTCCCCTCTCACAGTTGCAGGCATCAACGGCTTTATTCCAAGAAGCAGCCTGCAAGTAGTATCGTGAATCGCTGGCAGGGAGTTGTTCCAGTCTATTGCCCATCCTCCGAACAATAGCGAAGTTGCGTGTAGCCATGTTCGTGGATATCAAGCCGACCGCGTTTCGTTGTCTGTATGTGGTTGGATCAGATAACATGTACGCCGCACCGCTTCTGTTACTGTTGTCATTGGAAGCTGGGGTGGCGCAGCATTCAAGGATGAATGCAGTCCCTATAGCTATCACAGTGGATTTTGGTGGCATTCCTCGTTTGACCAATGCACTCCGTGAGCAGCACACCATCGTAAGTTCATTCTGATCTGGATCCGAAGCTCATTCAGGCTTGTTGCACACAAGAAGACCCCATCAACCTTCGTTTATCCGTGCCGCGAGCCAACGGGACTCAGGACCAGCACACCCACCCACAAGTACGGCGGGGAAGACGTTATCCGGCGTTCGTCTGCGGTCCCAATGTACTCTCGGCAGCGCTACATCGGACGCGGGAGGAAAACAGTAATAGAGCATGTCTACCGCGCCTTAGCTAGCTATAAGAGGTTATTTCTACGCTACTACACGTATAAGTAGCTAAACTATTACTAGCCTGTTTACGTTAGATAAGTGACTATAGTATAATACTAGAGTTAAGCTTAGTTAGTTATACTTAGAATTATTATTATATTAATACTTAGTAAGAATCTAATCTATATTAAGTTATTACTAGGCTACTACTATATAGTAATACTACTATAGACTCTATTCTTAGTCTATAGATAATTAGCTTATCTAGCTAATTAGTAAAAGTAGAATATAAAGATATAATAGAACTAATTTAATAAGATTAGACTATCTCGAGAGATATTTATAGATAGTATTCATAGAGTCTAATATTAGATAAGATAGATATACTTTATAACTTAGTAGCTCCGACATTCTAGCCGTCGACGGTCGGACTATAAGCGGGTAAGAGTATAGACCTACCTACGGAAAAATACGTCGGAGGAGGGGGTTACTTTCATAAGACAAGGTGCCTAGGATGCATTCGATCCAGAACGCCAAGAGCGAGTGCGCGAGTGCGCGAGGCGCAGAAGTGGCGTCTCAGAATATGCACGCTACGTAGATGCCTTAGCTAAGAACTGTATCATGTCTGTTCAGGCTGCCAGCCTTGCCGCCGACAATTTGCAAGATGTCTTCGCTTCTCTCAGCTTCATGTTCCTTGTGGTACCCAACACGAAGGAATGACAATCTGCAATCTCTGCTCTGGAGTGCTTTTCGACAAGCCATGGCCTCTGGGATGTGGCGCAAGGAACCATCACGCATCTATTAACGACTGGCTAGCATCTGTGGAGGCCGCCTGTTCAATATGTACCCTCCTTCTCGAGCATTGTAAGGACGCGGTGGGGCGCATCGAGGAGGGCCAGCGCGAAAAGGAATCGAGGAACCCGGACCGAGCCCGGAAAGAAGGCGCGCATGCCAGCAATAACGACCCTTTTGTCGAAGACAGAGAGATCCGAAGCACTCCAGGAGAAAAGCTTTTGGTCGATTGGGGCAACAGCAACGAGATACTGCATAAAATGACATTGCCAGTCTACACGGCGGATATACAGGACGCTGGAGGCAAAGATGCTTGGATCTTGAAATTCCAAGCACAGATTTTGAAATTTGAACCACATGCAGAGCTCTTTGATGCCGATATGGTCTTCTCAGTGAAGTTGCAGAGCCAACGCTTCATTGTCTACAGTGCCGAATGTCAGTCTCGTCGGAGAAAAGCACCGCGTACCTTTGAGCTGACGAGATATTGTGTAGATGACGAGGACGTCCAGCCGAATGTCAGCATGAAAGATAGCACTAACAGCGAACAGACGTTCAGACAGATCCAGAAATGGACGGATACATGCAGGAACACACACCCAAAATGTCGAGCACTTTTCCGGGAGCGTAAGGATACAGATTGGGTTCCCACCCGGCTGATCGAAGTGAGCCCCCCTGATTCGCTACATCCAAGGGTTGTCGAGACGAACAACAAAGTCGCTAGGAAGTTCACACAATACATCACACTCAGGTAATGTCAAAATTACGCTTAGCTGCCGTGACAGATCACGTTCTGACCATTACCAGTTACAAGTGGGGCTATACGCCTGAATACCTTCTCAAAAGTTCGAACAAACAGGAATTCATGAAGGGCATGGTGTTGGACAAGATGCCGCAGACCTTCCGAGACGCCATCATTGCTACACGGGCTCTGGGCGTGGAGTATGTCTGGATTGACGGTCTCTGCATGCTGCAGACGGATCCCGAAGAATTTCTTCGAGAAGCGCCCTTGATGCAAGAAGTGTACGGCAATTCCTATCTCAGCTTAGCTGCAGTGAGCGCCAACAACAACCAGCAGGGCCTCTTCCGGAAGCGGATGCCTAGAGGTGCACCTCCTTCCGTCACAAGCGTGAATTGGTCTCGCCGACCAACCGAATGTATAGTGGTACGTGAGGACCTATGGAAAGGTGAAATTCTGGCCGAGCCCTTATACGCCCGAGGATGGGTAATGCAGGAGCGCATGCTGGCACCACGCATTGTCCATTTCCAACGCAGGCAAGTGTTTTGGCAGTGTCCCAGCCTAACGGCTTGTGAAGCCATGCCTAGAGGTCTGTCAACCGTTGTCGAAGATGAGCGCAAAGACGAACTGCGGTGGCGACAGCTTCTGCATCGATTGGAGGGCTCCTGTCTATCGAAAGACGACCAAGCAGATCTGAACGAAGTCTGGCGGGTTGCTGTTGAGAGCTATACGAACTGCAATCTGACAAAAAATCAGGACAAGCTCATGGCTGTTGCTGGTATCGCCAAGAAGTTTCTTTCTGTTCTTAAGGATCCAGCGACAGGCAAGCAGGAACAGTATTATGCTGGCCTTTGGGGGTTCCAGTTTGCCGAGCAATTGGCTTGGCGGGTTGTGGAGTGGCTTCCACTGGCACCAAAAGATGAAGCGACCTACCGGGCGCCGTCATGGTCTTGGGCATCCGCGGATGGCATCATCCGCACGCCACGCCGCATCTTTCAGCGGCGGGACTACTGCATGAAGATTGGGGAAGGCGGAGTGAACGTTCATCTAGCTGATGCGAGGAACCCTACAGGGGTCGTCTACTTCGCATCTTTGACAGCAGAGGTGGAGCTGTTCCGTCACTTGAAGTTCTCCGCCACTGACCAAAGCAGCCTAGAATGGCAGTGGATAGGCGTCGACGGAGCGCCCTTCCGCCTACTTCTGGACCGGCCGCTTGACAAGTTTCCACCTGATCCTAACGAGGATGTCAAAATCGGCCCCGTTGCCAATGGGTCCGGATATCACTTGGAATGTTCAGCTGCCATGATTGCTTACCAACGGGACCTCGATGGGACATCTGATTACTCTGGCTTTGCTCTAGCTCTGTCGAAGGCGAGAGCTGGCAAGACTAGGCTATTTGGCCGTCTGGGGCTCATCGAATTCCGTGGTCTATCTGGCGATGACTGGAAAGGGCTTGAGCAATTTAAGGAAACGGAGAAACGTGAAGAAGGCGAAGTCGCGCCATCTGACAATCGTGCTGGCGACAAACACCTCATTACCCTACTGTAATATCGTACATAGGGTCCCTTCCGGATTACTTCGACCGACATTGGTCTAATTGCCAAGCAAGTTGGCCAAATTGTTGTTCAGAATGGTGTTACAAACTCTGTTTCGATCTTTATCTGACCATATTGGGTCGCAATACCCGTTGGTGAACTTCACGTTTCCACCGTGCGCGGCATTCTGCGTCCTGCCGTTGCCTTGGGCGGTCTCTTTGCATTGGCAAAGACCAGGACATGTTTTGCCCTGGCCGTTGTAGCATCTGGACACGCATATACCAATTGGCTTCGGGGCTGGGCAGCTTCCGTCTGTGCATGCTTGGCAAGCGAAATTAATTTGTCTGCAAGAGGTTCCGCTGTCGCACTGTCCTGGCCTACGGGAGGTGTAGTCGCAGAACTTGGGGAATGGGACGGTTCCGTCATCCCTCACGCCATGGTGCAAATCTTCGGATGTGTCGTTCGTTGGCGTCTCGTTCTCATCTGCCACCGTCATTCCATCTATGAAGTGATCGGTGATTACAGACCGAGTCTGCTTCGTGGAAGGTGGAGGTGTTGTTGGTGCAGTGGCGTTGCGTGATCCAGTGACGCACAGCGATGCGTCTACGAACATTGCCTGGTGGACGTCAAGCCAAAGCCGCGTGTAGTTGTAGAAGTTCGCAAAAGTCCAGTACAATCGACAATCCGCAGGCAAGTAGAGCACCTGGTTTGGTGCCGATTGGTTCTTCTGAACCTGATCCCGAAGAGTGAAGCCAGTGTAGATTCCTTGTATTCCAGTATCAGGCGGCTGAGTCGGTAAGCTCGCCCCTGCGGTCGCATTAATCTCGATAGCATCCGCGTAGTCGAGGTGTAGCTCGTCGCCGGAGTATGATACCGCTCCCCTTGAGCCACTTGCTACCTGCATGGGACCGGACTCTGGACGTCCACCAAGGGCGACACTCCTGACGCCGCGCTCTCGCATCATCTCAACGAAAAGCGAACATGTCGAGCCGCAGATGCCGTCTGTCAGAACAATGATATTCGCAGCATCCCAAGGCTGCGAGCGGTTGCAAGAGCGGCTGTAGAAACACGGTTCGGCGTCCACTTCGAAAGCTGCTTCAACGAATGTCGGATTCGACAAGTCGTATTGCTGAACGAGAAAAAATGTATCGCCATCAAAATTCTGAGGGCCCGAATACTGCCCCCACGAGGTGAAGTTGCTGCCTGTTACTGCGTTGATCCGATTGGTGACAGTCCATTCTGAACCTTCGACGTATGGGGCATTCTCATTCGACAGATCGCTGCCAAGTGTCTGTGCTTTGGAAGTGAATGTCTGGCCTAGAACATTTGCGTCGTGATGGGAGCGCATCCGACTTCCGGAGAAAGGTCGCGCATTAGGAAAGAACTGTCGTTGTCATCAACATTGCTCTTAATCAACTGGAACAAGCCCAAACGTACCGAATCAAAGGTAGAGAACGCTAAGGGTACTGCTCCGCCAGGGTTCTGCTGAAGGTCGATGATGACATTCGTCGCTTTACGCTGCGTGGCGTTATTGATGAAGTCGGTCACAGCTTGGGAAAATGTGTCGACGGCATCGCCGTACTGCTCAAAAGTGGGCAAGCTTAGAACGGCCGTGGAGCTTTCGGCGAGGAAGTATCCAGTAAGAGCGCCATCAGTAAAGAGGCCAAGGTCCTGCTGGTAGCTAATAGTGTCGGAAGGATAAGCTGGGGAGTTACCATTCCAGGATGTGAGGTTCGAGCTGATGCTGTCCCCTCCACCGGCAGTGAGAGGTGCCTCGTCTGAAGTCCTGTTGCTGTAGTAGTCATCCCAGGTCTCGTTGTAGTTCGCAGGATACTGCCCGAGCACGAAGAAGTTGTAGAAGTCGCCACCCGTGGCAAGGGGTCCGGTGAAGCCTGGAGTACCGAAAAGCGCGTACCACTTATCCTCTACGGTACTGCCATTCTCAAACGTCAAAGTGAGCTGATCGCCGGGGTAGAAGGGTGCAGCCTCAGAGAATGAGTTGAGACCGAACAGATCCTGGGCCGGACTGCACATCATTTGGTTCCAATCAGTATGGGGTTCAACCATTCCGAAAGACTGTTGCTGCGCAAAGGACGTGACGTAGTCCATCGCCGACATCCCATGAATGTTGGCAATCGCACTTGCCCTGGCTCCAGTCGTGACTTGAGCGACGAGGTCATCTGGCTGGTCATCAGCATTCCGTACATGGTTGATCAGCTGAGTTTGCGTACCATAAACGTAGAGCTTTGGAAGCTCACTGCCATCTGCCGAAACACTGACAAGTGAGTAAGGACTAATGCTGTTAGTGAAACACATTTCCCGACCATCGCGGGTAATATGCTTGCCTAGCAAAGAACATCTGGCCACTGATACCTCCATATACAAAGGCATGTGTATCGTGGAGGTTGCGTATCATGACCTGAACAGCAGTCTCGAACGCATACTGATTATGGTAAGACTGCGAGTTCACACGATCAACGGTCTCTTGCAGTGCTGCGAAGAAGTCGAATGCATCCTGGCGATATTCAGTTGGAGGATTCCGTACGAAAGCCGTAGTAGCATGGTATTGGTAAGTCTGGTTGAGGTATCCGAGGTACCGTAAGGCCACTGCGGAGTTGAACGGGACACTCGTCAAACAGTCAAAAATGTCCGACGCCAAGAATATGAATTGATCTTCGTTTATCAGTTTGAGACATGGCGAGTTGTGGGTAACGACTGGGTATACCTTCGTAAAGATTGGCGTGGACGATATCGCCACACGTCGTTTCCTGTGGGGCCGATGGATAGCGATTGATGTCAAATGAAGGAGTCGGGATTTCCGTTTGCGCCGCAGCGAGGAGCGGCAGAAAGCAGAGTGGTGAACGCGGCAGCATGGTACGCGGTGCGGCCCGGAGAGGCCAGGGATGATGCTGTCAAGCAACGAAGGCCAAGCCGAGCTCATGCACATATCGAACGGAACGGCGTCGCTAGAGCAGGACCGCGATATATAGCGATCTTTCATTGATGATCTTTCACCGATTGAGACATGTTGATTTCCAGTGCCATCGCAGAGCTGTGTCCAGGAACAGACACATTGGGTGCCTCCATTCGCAAGCGAACGTCACACAAGACAGAGCCTCGCCCTCCAGCCTCACCATCCAGGCCAGCTGTGCTGTGCGTGCTATGTAGCTGCATCGTGATACGCTGCAATCTCCCACCGGTCGGGGGAAGCGTGGGGAAGCGGAGCGGGAAGAAGATGGCACAGCATATGCAGTGGGCGGTGATGACGGAGGTGAGGTGAGAGGAAAGGGAAGGTGAGTCGAAAGGCAATCTGCAGCTACTCCAAAGACGTACTAGCGTTGGATGCCTGGCGTGTCTGGCGATAGCTTAGCGCCGTCGGTACCTCTACCTCCCACCTCCTACACCACTGCA